CGTCACCGATATTGACTGGGACCCCACTGGCCGCTATGTTGTCAGCAGTGCCAGCGCCTGGACTCACACTGTAAGTTTGATCTTTTTTCACTTTTGATTCTCCTTTTTTTCCTTTTTCTTCTACGCCAAAGGGAACTTCAAAGGCTCACTGAGCTAACCAATTACTACCACATACAGTTGGAAAACGGCTACAACATCCATACATTCTCCGGCACCACCCTGGCCGAACATCCTACCGAGAAGTTCAAGCAATTCCTCTGGCGCCCACGGCCTCCAACATTCCTCAGCAAGGAGGAGCAAAAGCAAATCCGCAAGAACCTGCGCGAATACTCCCGCGAGTTCGACGAAGAAGACAAATACGCTGTCGATATTGCCAACACGGCCATCGTCGAGATGCGTAAGAGAGTCCTCAACGAATGGACTGCTTGGGTGCGTCGGGAGAAGGAAATGCTGGATGAGGAGATTGATGTGCTGGGTCTAGAGAGGGAGGAGGATGTTGCTGCGGCCGCCAAGAAAGAGGTAGAGACGGAGGGCACAGTTGTTGAGGAGATTATGGAGGAGATCATTGATGAAACGGAAGAAGTTATTGGATGAAAGCTGTGTTAGTTCTTTTTCCTGGGACTTGCTGGCATTTGTTCGTCGAGTAAACCAGGGTGTCCTTGTTCTCAATCATGTTCTAATGCATGAGTCATGCCTGCCATGTCAATTTTCCCTTCCGCCAGATTATGGCTGAGATCTTTTGTTGCTTCCTTTTTGTCCCATGGTAGGAGTCACTTCATTTGCCTAGGTATGGATGGAATCATGATAGAAGTTTCAAAGACGTCGCTTGCACGTTGACCTTCGGATACCTGGGCGCATTAAAAGAAAAAAAAATACATCCACCAATAGCAACGCACGATTCCATGCTGAAGTAACGTTGAAGATAGGGTTCAAACCTAATTCAATAGGCTAAACTCAAAGAGGCTTAGTTGCTGCGTGGGCAAAGCTTATCTACTTTCTCTCAGCTGGAATGGCTCCGATCTCGGGTCTTTCTCACCCAGGGATAGGATATTTAGATTACTGGACGATAAAGGCTGCATTCTCAATGAATACTGCAAAAAGCTCATGGAAATTACTGGCACTCAATTACACATGTGAGGCAAGGGAGCTGAGATTTGTCGCTTCCATCCCAATTTTTTATTCTTTTTTATTCATATTTTATATATATATTTTTCCAATCTAGATATATGGATAATAAATTAGATTCGTTTCTCGGGCCGCTTGGCTGCTGCTGTTCGGAGGAGGCTCGGACATTTACCAGTTAGCATTTTTTGCTGTTTCTCCTTTTCCTTTTCACCTTTAAGGTACTCGTTAGACATTTACCTAGAGGTGTATGTAACTAGGCGGCTAAATGTGGGGAAAATACCGCATGCGCGACTTCCTGGTAAGAGAGTTGTTAGCTTTCGCATATCCCAATTCAATCCATATTCCTTCAGCAGCCATTAGAGTGCAGGAGGGGTATATACAAATCACTCTCGTGTAGAGGGTGCAAGCTGTGTCTGGGATTGGAAACTTTCGGCGGAACCTTGACTCAAGGTGATACTTGGACAGAGTAGATTTCTGGCCGGTTGATTAACTACTTCGCAAAAAAAAAAAAAAAAAAAAAAAAAAAAAGGGAAAGAAAGAAAGAATGGAAGGAAGAAAAGAAAAGGGCCTTCACATAGTTTATAAATAGTATCTGTTAAAATGTTCCTGAAATACCGAAATTATGAATCCATGTCACGCTGATTTAGAGTGCTGGATCAACAGCAACCACTGTGGAATTGAAAAATAATGACACTACTTAGCTCCATTTAAGAAGGTTCTAAAAAGTTGTCATAGCGTGGATTTTGTCTCCATTGGTGTTATTTCACAGACAGTTCGTCCAAGGTAGAGGTACCATTAGAACAAGCAGCAAACGACGAGGGAATATTTAATAGTGTGCAGCCCCATTGTGTGGCATTCAGAGATGCTCCTCAAACCAAGCGACGGCCTGCAGGAATGCCTGTTCCTTCGCGAACTTAACAACCTTATTGCTTAGGTCGCCACGGACAGCGAAGCCGTGCACGACGCCGGAGAATAGGTTGATCTGCCAGGGCTGGCCGACTTTTGCGAGGATTTCTTCGGATTGGTGACGTAGGCTTGAGGGGAAAATGGAATCGGTTTCTAATTTGCGACATATTTGTTAGTTGGAGAGGAGCAGTGTAAGAGGTGATGGTACTGTCTCTGTAACGATCGAGAGAGTGTGTAGGCATGCATTTAACTACTTACCGGCAGCTGAAATAGCGTAGGGTCCTTGAATGGCTGCCAGTTCCTCTGAAGTGACGAAGGACGGATGGGCGACATATCCCACGTCGACGGTTCCAGACCCCCTCATGAATCGTGTCACATACTGTATTTACAAAAGCATCGAATTAGCTCTCTTCTCTCTCTCTCTCTCTCTCTTTTATTTTTTCTGTATCCCAATTTGCGGTCTCCGTTCCCTTAACCGAAGCCCTTCCATCTCACCTCCACATGGGATCAGAACTAACCTTAGCACCAAAGCAATATCCCGCAGCTCCAACTTTTTTAATCCCTAATGTCTCCCGCACGTGCTGTATCGTTGCAGCAGCGATCGGATCGACGGTTTCTGGGGTGTAATCTTTCAGCCAAGCCATGATGTCGACTTGGCCACCCTCGAACTGGTTGATTGTGAGGGGTTTGCCGCCGAACAGGTCCGGCATGACGACCAAGTAGCCGCGGGAAGCATAGTCGTCGGCGAGAAATTTAGCATTGTCGTACAGGCCTAGGATATCGGTGAAGATGATGATGGCTTTATCTGGATTGGCGGTGCTGGGATAGGAGAAGTATGCGTCGACTGGAACATGTTTATGATTGGCATAGTTAGTCAGTTGGTCAATCGGCATTGGTATTTACGGTTCAAGAGCTCGGAGATGTATCTATATATACAGTTGCTGATTTTTTTGACCACGCCTGAGGCGGTGCCTTCGTGCTTGAAGCCGCTAGCGCAGCATGAGCTGGGGGGATGAGAAGCCATTGCTTGTGCTTGCGAAGTTTAAATTATCTAGGTGAGACGGTGAAAGAGGGGATGGAGTACGGAGCGGGTGAAAAAGAGGGAGGCGACGTAATTAAAAGGGGGGATGGCTAAATATGGGAAGATGGAATGCGAGGCTTTAAAATTGCATCCCTTTCTTTGTCTACGTGTGTATCGGGGCAACCCGCTCAGCTAAATACAATCCGTATTCCCATTAATTAGTTAACAACTAATTAGTTAGTGTGGTTATGCGGTACAATGGAGCACGATAATAGCGAGTATTGCTATCTCTGCATTATTCTCCCCGCGGCCCAGAGTTGAAGTGCCTAGGTATGTCATCCACTCGTCCTCGGCCGGAATGCTGCTAATTGGATTCCCAATCCAATGCGCCTCATCCCGTTTACTTGTGAGCTGATAAATTTCTTTCCAGCTGTGCTGCTAAAGGATTTGTTTTCAGCTTGGGGGATCTCTCTCTCTCTCTCTTTTTTTTTTCCCCCCCCTTCTTTTAGGGGGGAGAGCAACTCCTGTAATATTATTTCCCAGGCATTTAGGTGCAGAGGTTCCGGTACACCTGGGCTGCATTCCTCATCGGCTCGAATTATATCACCCGCGGGGGCCAAACATCAGAGCAAGGAATTTTAGATGTTCCTCTGCTTTCCCCCGCCTTTTTCTGGCAGCCGACCCCGCCTTGCTTACTAGGCTGGGTTAGGTTGGCCATGTGACAATGTTCGGAAATGGAACAATAATATCCCGGAAGCATCGCACCGTTGACTAATCCGTTCAATGGAAAAATCTCTCAAACTTCAAAACTTTTCTCCCCGCAGAAAGAATAGCTAACGAATGGGACGATGTTATTATATCTCGCAAAGGAACGGGCATGGTTATTCTGATGTGATTTGCTTTCAGCTAGGACAAGCTTATGAAAACCTTTTTTTTTCTTATCCAGAAACTCAATGATGAAAGAAAGAAAGCTTACGCAGTTGAACCTTGGAAAGGATGACCACAAACAACTCTTATTCCACTAGTAGTTTATGAAAAGCCTGGAAATGGACAAATGAAACCAATCATCATCTATCTGCAAGCTCTGAACCAGGCGGCCGCTCCATGGCTTTGTTTGGGTCAAAGATCCAGGTCAGATTCGATTGCAGCAGATTGTCTCAAATTTCTTTATAGTACTAGTTAATTAAGGGCTGCATTCATCCGTCCATTTCATGAATCTTGGAAGTTCAGTTTCTCAGCATTTTTCAAAAAGCTGATTAATTCAGACTCTACTATTATTAATCATCGATGTCTGTCCCCGGCGCAAGGTCCCCCAGTTTCAAGTTCCTGGGTTACAAACTTTCCGAAGTAACTAGTTAGATAACTAACTGCCTGCTTGAAGCGAGGTATCCACTGGCAGTCTAGCTATGTGCATTCCCGCCAGCCGCGGTAGATAATGAACGCAACTAACAAAAATCCGCAAGCAACTATTATACCAAGAGTCAATGATTCGCCTGCAATCACAACCCTTGCAACCTTGCGACCTTGCGCGCAGCACGTTGAAGCTTGAACGAGTAACTAATATTCTCATGTCAACTAACGTAGTTTGTGCCCACCTGGCAACTGGCGCCACCGTCTATTACGATTTCTGCAGAGCCCTTTGATCCTACCCCGATTTACGCACTGGAGGCAATGGCAAGGATTAAGCAGAAATTAGCAATTGGGAAAATGCCGGAGAAGGAGAAAGAACTATTATCCGACCCTTTTCAAGGGGAAGGTTTGACTGGGTGCGAAATGGGTTGGATCCCTGCACTGGATTTTAAGCCTCTGCCCCAGAGGTTGTCTGTTTTGATACATTTTATGTGATATAACGTATAAATCAGTGATATATACCAGCGTCCTCGCCTGGGTTCTCCATATTACTCCATACATGAAGACGTCCCAACATACAGAATAATACATACATATCATGACAACTGCCAATTACCTAGTCACGGGCTCCACCAGCGGCCTTGGAGCCTCTGTCCTCGCGACCCTCTACAAATCCGTCAACAACCCGGCTCAGATCATAGCTTCCTCGTCCCGTGCTGAAGCCGCAGACGAGCTCCAGAAAGACTACCCCGGTACCCAATTCCGGATCACCAATTACGACGACCTGTCAGGGTTGGAGAATGCCTTCAAAGGTGTCGAGCGGTTGTTCTTCGTGTCCACTCCCACCGTAGATGTAACCAGGAGGGCTCAGCAACACTCAAATGTTATTGAGGCAGCCAAGAAAGCTACTGTTGGCCACGTATGAGTTGACTGATTATTATATTTCCTTTCCTTTCTTTTCCTTTCTCTTCCTTTTAATTAATTTATTTAATTAATTTATATATTACTGTTGTTGTTGTTGTTGTTGTCGGAAAGTGTTAAGATGAGTACTTACTTTCTATGCTTTTATCTGTTGCAGGTATATTACTCTAGCCTGGCATTCGGCGGATATAGATCGGATTCAAAGGCTATTGTGCAGGCTGCACATCTTATCACGGAGGAGCAACTAAAAAGGTTTATTATTCCGCCCATTCGCTCCGTTCAACCGTTCCATTTTTGATATTGATCCTCCCCTTTCCCCTTTTAGATCTGGTGTCCCCTATACCTCTGTGCGCGAAGGCATCTACGCCGATGCCTTCCCCATCTTCTCGGCCTGGTACCCGGACACAACCACCATCTACATCCCCACTGACGGGCCCATCACCTGGACCTCCCGCACAGAGCTTGGCGAAGCAACCGCCAAACTCATGCTGCGCGACCCGTCCACCCTCTCCTCGCTCATCAGAAATGACGACAACATCGCCCTCCTGACTGGTCCCCGTGCGTACACTTTTGCTGACCTCGCCACAACACTAACCCGTGCGACAGGCACGAAGATTGCGGTGCAGCAAGTCCCGCGGGATAAGTATGCGGCTGTTGTGGCGCGAAACGACGCCAAGGAGGGTCATGGCGGGAAATCTGCCCGATTCTGGGAGGTGTGGGCTAGTTTGCTGGATGCGGTGGGGCAAGGGGAGGCGGCCACGGTGGATCCGCTGATGGGGGAGCTTCTAGGGCGCCCACCGCGAGATGGGATGGAGTATATCGAGGAGCTAGTGAGGGAGGCTGCTTCTCGAGGTGGATATACGTGGCATCAGAATTATGATATAGGTAGGGAGTAAAGATGTTTTCTCTTCTATCAGATTCATGGTTCATCTTGAGAGAAACCCACGTGTGTATACGCACATTGAGCCGATTGGCAAGGCCAATGGGAAACCCGGGAACTGAACTGTATTTTGTATGTCCTAGTAACTCTAATTGAAACTAATCCGTAGAAATTTTATGAAAATACGGAGTAATAATAGGAGGAAAGAAAGATGATGAGATGATAAGCATAAGGATTATTCGATTGGATTGGATTGAAAAGCAGACTGTCTCTTGACAGGCTCCCTTGGCAGGCTAAGCGCAGAAAAAGAGTGCATGCATACATGAATAGCGGACCCGACAGGATGGGTCGTGGCGGCGGTGATTGGTAGAGGAGCAACAGGGCTGGAATATCAGGAATCAACAGCGAATGCTAATTAAATGGCTAATAAAAACGTTACGAGTTAACGAACAGGGAGGAGGGTTTCCTCCTAAATAGAACAGTAAGAGCAGGCTTTGGAATAATATTGATTGAGGGGGCAAAATCTGTCGGAGTTTGAATGACTCTAGTTAGGTTTATGTGGACATAACAAGTCACTAACCACCGAGTTACTCTGTACATGTAGCCAGAGAGATTGAGCGCTCAAGATCAAGGTCAAGATCAAGATTAAAAATAGGCCGCTCATGCTTTAATTTTCAAGTTCTCTTTTCTTTTCTTCTTTCCTTTTTACCAATCAATTTCTCCCTTTTTCGAATCTGCCTAATCAACCGCCTGAACAACTTCTGTTCTTCAGTTGTTGGGGCATGCTCATCGCTGTGCTGACTTGTTGACCACAGTAATAAATGCTATTGTTTGGGTCTCAAGGAAAAATAATTACTGGTCTTTCTCTGTTCTCTAAACACTTCTAACTATCACTCTATCACTCTGTTACACTGCTACTCTTGGTTGCTCTGTTACTCTGTTACTCTGTTAGTTGTTGTTCTGTTCTGCCTGCACTGCCACATCTTTAAGTTAACTCACTACTATGTCCTCTCTGATGGCATTTTAACTATGAATGATTAACTAACATTTGAACAGGCGTCTTAGTAACAAACCTCATCCTCAACCACCCGCCCTCACATTTTTTCTCTTCCTTTCATCCTCCAACAACTTCATCCCCCTCTCAACCTCATCCCACATCCCAACGCTTGGAGGACAGGAACACGGACAAGCCCTCCTGCTCCTCCTCCTTGATCTGGCCAAGGCACCAGCTTCCAGAGCATGTACACTTTGAAACAAGACCGCCCTCATCCCGTATCACCGCCGCCAGCACCGCTCGCCATGGATCACCTCCAACATGGTTATTCCTCCTCAAACCCCGCCACCCTGCCCGGCATTCCAGAGACCCCTAGAGCCGTTTCCACGGTCTTCGAGGGTCGCATCTACTCCCTCGATGTCGTCCAGCAACCCATCCGCGCTCGAATGTGTGGGTTTGGTGACAAGGTCTGTTCTAACCTACCTACATACCACACATCCCTCCCCCTTCCCCTTCCCCCACTTTCCCCCGGTCCATTCCAAAATCTATTATCCATCCATCCTCCCCCTCTAGCTTATCTATCTCTCCGTCTATGTCCATTAACACTCGTCTCCCATCACAGGATCGGCGACCAATTACACCTCCTCCCTGCATCAGACTGATTGTCCGCGACGCTGCTACCCAGAAGGAGATCGATATCAAGTGTGTTCCCGATTTCCTTTCTGTCGCGAACCTCGATGTCGTTCGTGGGTTGCATATATCATTATTGTAGTTTTTATTTATACATTTATATGACTTTCTACTAATACGTTGCCTGTCGTTGCATAGTGAAATGGACACTTCTTTCTACGTCCTGACCGTCGACCTGTGGAACGCAGAGGGCACCAACGAGGTCAACCTCGTCCGCCACTCCGCGACATCCCCCTCGATCTCTACCGCTACCTCCTCCGCATATCCCCCTCCGGCCAACATCATGCCCTACCCTCCGTATGCACAGGCCCATGGCTATCCCGCGTATCCGCCCTACTACGCTGCACAGCAAGGTTACAATCCTCATGCTGGCTATCAATATCAGCAAGGGGGCCCTGATACTTACTACCAGGCTCTTCCCCCCACTGGCGCATACTATGCTCCTGGGACTCCCACTCAGGCTCTTGCTCCCCAATCCGCACTGCCCCATATCTCAACTGCCTCCACAGGCATGTTTACCCGCAACCTCATTGGCAGCCTGAGCGCCAGCGCGTTTCGCCTCACAGACCCAGATGACAAAATCGGAGTCTGGTTTGTCCTACAGGATCTCAGTGTCCGCACAGAAGGTTCATTCCGGTATGTTTACCCAATTATGTACACTATACATGAGCACACACATATATATACGTATATATTGATTGTCGCATTTCTTGTACCAACTCCACTAACAATTCATCGCAACGTTATAGATTAAAGATGAACTTCGTCAACGTTGGCACTCAAACTCAGTCCCAAGAGCAATCGCCCGGGGGGACGCCTTCGAGCCCCGTGATCAATGTTGGATCCGCACCCGTTCTGGCCTCGGTGTTCTCTGATGTTTTCCAAGTGTACTCCGCCAAGAAGTTCCCCGGCGTCATCGAGAGTACCCCTCTGAGCAAGTGCTTCGCGTTCCAGGGTATCAAAATTCCCATTCGCAAGGATGGAGTCAAGGGCCCCCGTGGCTCACAAGTGCACGGAGCCAAGGGACAGGACGCTGAAGGTGAAGACTGGGAAAATGAAGCATGACCGTTTTCCCCGCTTGCTTTTCTATCTTTTACTCCAATTTCTTCTTTCTTTTCAGCAGCGACAACAACGATGGGAGAGATTTCTGTTTGCGGAAACGGCGTTTCAGAGTGGTCAACACAATTACCCCTTTTGGTTAAATTCAGCATCTTTTATGTGCCCTTCTTTCTTACGCAATTTTTGCTTGGTTATCTCGTCTTGAGACTTGGGTTGGTTGGGATTTTTTGTTTCGGTGTTGGTGTTGTATATGTGTGTGTGTGTGTGTGTGTGTGTGTGTGTGTGTGCATATGTGTGTGTGTGTGTGCATATGTGTGAGGGTGAGTGAGTGAGAGAGAGAGAGAGAGAGAGAGAGAGAGTGTGTGTGTGTGTGTGTGTGTGTGTGTGTGCATATGTGTGTGTGTGTGTGCATATGTGTGAGGGTGAGTGAGTGAGAGAGAGAGAGAGAGAGAGAGAGAGAGAGAGTGTGTGTGTGTGTGTGTGCGTTTGTGTGTGTGTGTGTTTTTGTGAATCTGCACATTGTCGTGGTTTGTTTTTCGTTTTGTTTTCATTTTCCTTTTTTGTTTGCCTTTTCGTGTTCTTTTTTTCTTTTTATTTGTTGGGGAATCTTTGAGTTTGGGCCTTTTTAGCAATTCTCTCTTATATTCCCGTGGTCTGTGGGTTAGCAGATGATGAAAATGGTGTCTTTCTTTTTCGAAAAATGATCTTTTCGCTGATAAGAGGGGGTTACTTCGAGGGGAACACCCTTGAAAATGAGAAACAATCAAACAAGCCAGATGCAGAGATGTATAGCTGGGAAACCAAACCAGGTCGGTGTTGGGATAGATGCCCTTCTATTCTATACGACCTTCTTATATCTGGGACGAGCATATTATGCATTTCTAGCTAGTGACTCTTCTGGGCGTGGGTATAGACTACAAACATACCTTCTCTAAATCGCCTTTTGTTTGTTTGTTCTCTCTATACCTTCCTTTTACTTCCTTAAAATGCGAAACTTCAATGTTTTAATGGGATTTGCTTCCAGTTATGTTTCTTTCCCTGTAATGTTTTGCAGGAGCTGGGGTTGGAGCTAGATATAGGCTTTTGCGGATTAGGGTACGTTGTGTTTGCTTTCCAATATGCAATTCGCTGAGCCCCAGCTAATGAATTAATTACCGACCATAGTTCAGTGTTGTTAACATTGATCTGATCAAAATGCTCTGAACGGTAATTATCTCAAGCTGGGGCCATTTGCTGTTCACACATGAGACTGGCCATCAGAGAGGCAAGTTTGGAACCCCCCCCCCCCCCCCCCCCCCCTTTTCCCCCCCTTTTATTTTCTTCTTCTTTTGATTCCAATATCCATATTAACCTTGGTCCATAATTTGTTGGATACTCTCAGGCAGCTGTCTCTCTCCTGCTCTACCTGTGCAAAACATGTCACATGAATCATTACAGATGGGCCTCCTCAGTTGCGTCAACTTGAGATAATGAGCGTCCTGGGAAAAGCGGTGCAGATGCTCGCAACGAAAATACGACACCAACTTGTTGACACTTTGCATGAGTCTGAATGGTGTTCTGCGGATAATCAAGAATAAATGTCGATCATGTGCTTACATTTCCAGAGACAGCAATACCTACATATTGGTGGCATGTTGGATGAAATGATTAGACTTATATATGCGTTCTGGGGAAATACTACCAAGAACGAGTTGTTGGGAGAATTAGCCCAGGAATTCTCCGTCTGAAACTGCGTCAATGCCATGGTTTGATCGAATCGTTCTGGGTTAGTCATAAGTAGTTGGTTTACTATAAGCTATTCCACTTGTGACTGGGTAGGGTGAAAACGAAGTAACAGGATCCTGCCGCACAATGGAGAGGGCACTAATTATATCCTCTTCCATATTTTCCGTCTGGAAACCGTCTGTCGTCGTTATTGAGGGGCCATTGTTCCCGTTAATGGGAGAAAAACGGGTTGAGATGATGGTTCGTCGCAGACTAGGAATTGGTTGAAGATTCCAGCTACAGCTGAAACTTGTGGGAGTGGCAGCTTTCCTGGGGTGGTCAAGGATGGACCAGAGGGTGATGAGTAGGAAAAGCGTTTGGATTTAAAAGAGGCAAATGCTTGTAGGAACTGGTTCCCAGTGTCGGAACATAAACACTCTCTTCCTAGGCATTGAAAATCGAAGTGGAATGCCATGTGGAGTTGCATCCGATTCCAAAGCAAGGGGCGGAGAGAACTCTTGATGCTTGCACAAACTCAATAGATGATCCTTGTTGGACTTCTTGGGTGCTGTGTGCCAGCTGGAATTCCATCATCGTGGAAAATCAACCGGTGAGGGTATATTCATTAGATCCATCACTGTCTGCGTGGAATGAGTTCCCGCACAAGCCAATGTGTCAAGGAGGCAGAATTGGACCCAAGAAATCATTGTGAATGCCCTGAGAAACAAGGCGGGATGTGCTCAGTGAGCTACTGCAACAAAAATTTGTGTTTTGCCGCATAGCCCTGCCTCCAACTTTACGGTGGATGCTAAAATCTCACACAGCCCTCCGGGGGTGACAGTCATACAAACTGGCTTTTCCTCGCTGCTAATTTGGGGTCAGTGCAGTTGGCTTAGCTGTTGGACGGAAATATAAATTGAATTTATGTTTACTATTTCATTTTCAAGATATGGGTGGTCGGGGGGGATTATCTGTGGTTGGCAGATACTTGGAGAGAAAACATATACAATCGCCTAGACGCGAGATACATACCAACAACCATTTCGGCTTCTCTGTTTTGGCAAGGAGACACAGGGTCTCTCTGGATGAGAACGTTTGCCGGTCAAATATGTGGCTTTCAGAAGCGTCTTGACGGAAGGTTCCACCAGTATTTAAGGTCTGGAGACTGGAGGAGGCAGCCGGAAAATCGCTAATTAACCGAGCCTCATCCGACAATAAGAGTCGGGAAATAATAAAAGTTTGAGTGGTGGTGGTGGTGTTTTTTTTTTTTTTGTTGAAAGATGATTTCTTCGTTGAGGCCAAACAGGATGATCTGATCCGATCTGATCGAACACCGTAGGTGAAGTGGAGAATCAGAATCAGGAGGGGACGAAATATTTATATTAAAAACTGGCTTGATATCGAGGGCCCAGAGATAATCTTTGGTCCCATTGTATCGCTAGTTAGCTAAGTAATCAATCAATCATGCATGATTGTTTAATTTGTTTAGCCAGATGTAAATGAGGAACGTTGAAACAACAGGGCAGAGAGGTCCATAGGTGTTGTCCTATGTATAAACTATTGCTGCTTGGGGAATATGAAACGGGTGTCCGGAGGCAACTTTCGCCTCTTATCAAATTCAAAATCGGCACCAAGGAACAGCGTTTGTAACAAGAACTTATTTTTTCTACAGAGAGAAAAGCGTAGAAAATGCGGTAGAAGAACTGGAGAGGTGGTTCGAGGGTAGGAAATCATTCTGGCCTGGTTACCAGAGACTTTTGACCGGCACCAAAGTAAATATTTAGTGAAATAACTAAGTTATAGCTACCTTGTTAGTTAACTAACTTCACCAAACGTGAACTGAGATATTTACTTACTCACAATCTGTAGTGTGTGGGTGTGGGTGTGGGTGTGGGTGTGTGCAAACCACCCTGACATCGAGGGGGTACATCAGACTTTTTGCACGGAGTAAGTTGAAGCTTTGAAGAACTCCCGGGCGAGCCGAGAGAAATCCCACAATTAAATACATAGGATCAAAGTTTCAAACCCTAACTAATAACTAGTCAGTTTTAGTCAACTAAAAGCCTAACAGCTTAGTTAAGCCCATGCAAACGGTTTCAGCGTATGCCCACGCAGCCACTCAAACCCCTCAACCCCTTTTAACTAGCTAACTACGTCACAGATTGGAAGCGCAAGAAATCAAAATATATAATAACTACTGTAACTGGTTGCTTAACTGGTTTGATTTGACTCTGTGGCTTGTGCCTTGGCCAATGCGATAGCTAACTGACTAACCAACTATTAACTGACCATTAGTCAGATTTACGGACGGATCTTTTGCTGTTTGTCCTCATGGAACGAACAACCCCGGCTCATCAGACATCTCTCTCAGAGCTGCTTCTCCCGCCCCACGTCTCTCGCGCTCTAATACAGGCTATACCCCTTTTCTCCGTCTATACGCACCCCGTATTATTGCAACTTTGGCAGATACCCACTGTTTTGGAAAAAACAAGAAAAGAAAGTTAAAAAAAAAAAAAAAAAAGGGAAATAAAAGTAAAAGGAATTCCCAAGAGCTACCCAAAAGTAGATAAACCTCCAAACTCGTCATTGTTAATTATCTAGCTACATCAAACTTCTTCAGTACGATTCTATAGATGAGCTCGGGCACGATGAGCACCGCCTCGCTTCCTCTTGATTCTCTCCTTATTACCAGACATCCGCTTCAGAGGCTTCCCTCTCCCTCGCGTGGTTTTTCTGCTGTTATTCATGTTAGTGAAAGCCTTTTCCATGACAACACATGCCGAAAAACCGACTGATGGTCAGAATATATTGACCGACTGATTGTGTTGTGTGTTTCCAGATAGCTGCGCTGTCAAGTTTCGCATTGTCCTTCAAATAGTAAGTGTTTGCGTCTCTCTGTGGATGTACATAAACAAGAAAAGAAAAAGAAAAAGAAATAAAATATGATATACCCATGTTTCCATCTGCATGCGCCGTCGTTGGCCTTACCCTTTGGAAGCATCATAGAACATCCGAACTTAGCGTGCGTAATCCCCCCCCCCCCCTCCCCAAGAAAAGCAGGAGAATGAAAACGAGTCCTGCGAGTCCTGCTCTTCTTGGGCTAATAGTACCTAAGAAACGAGGCCTACGGATGGCATTTCCAGTACCTGACCATTATTGGTCTCTCCATGGCTACCTTGACAAGCCTGGTAGGCCTCGCCGCGGACCTCCTGCTGTCGTCGCGTCTGTTTGCCCTCAAGAACATGCTTCTGGTATGTAGCGCACCGATGGAGGTGTTGATCAGTATCCTCTACTGGGGCTTGAGAATTGTAAGCTCCACTCGCGATACCCCCAGCCGCCGTATCAAACCCACCTAACGAGGTATTTCGTACAGATTGATACACGGCTTGTGAAGCCCGATTGGGTGGAATTGTCGACAGCGGCGGGTGAGTGTTGGGTTACAATATCTCTCTTTCGTTCCGTGGGATCCCATGGTTTGTTCCTTTTGAGTCAGAATATTGAGACAAGCCTTTCATGGCCACAGATATTGGATTCCATGCCATTCCGGCCCTGGTGTTAACAATGGATCTTCTTTGCTTATCGCCGCCTTGGTCTATCGGCGCTCTGCCGTCCATGGGATTGGCGAGCGCCATTGCATTTGGCTACTGGTTTTGGGTGGAGAAATGCTTCCAGTATAACGGATGGTACTCACTCCTCGCGCCAACACTACCACCCATGCACATATACATGGAATTGGGATAGGTGGAACGTTTCGTCCGGTTAGACTGACTATTACACTGCCCAGGTATCCTTATCCTCTTTTTGAAAAGCTCACCACTGGCGGGAGAATAACCCTTTTTCTGTTCAGTGCCGCGCTGATGGCCATGAACACTGTTTTGCTAAAGCATTTGTACAGCCGGCTGAATGGGTTCGTCCATCCTAGTGCGGCCACACGTCCTGGCGCTGTGAAACGGAGTTAAAACCTTGCCCTTTACTCAAAATATGGTCCAGCGGTAGCCAAGTATCCGAATGATCTTCGGCCTCCGGTTCGGCATTACGATGAGATATATGGAGGATAGCTTCTTTAGTGTTTAGTTAAACAATGACTTGCGCGCAATATCCCCTCTCCCTGATCAAGAACTACATCCTTTCGTGGTTTAATAAGGTGGACTTGTTACGAAGGTCCTTGGCAGCTAGCGTAGCGAATGGATGGCCTATGGATAGAATGGAGTTACAGGAGATAGGTTTTACAGCGAAATATTAGTATTCGTTTATCCCTTAATAGATCTCAAATAAATGTTTGGCATCAATTGGGAAATTGTTCATCGGTAAGTAATAACATAAGTGATCACCTACCAGAACACCAACACCACCTATATTTAAATATGCGTGCTGATGCACTTTTAAGTAGACTGATTTGAATTCTTCACTGCTCTCTTCACAGCTTGTTGAGCAGCTTGAGTCCTAGCTAACTGACACTTTCAAACCAGTTGATTTATGGTTTGATTGATTGAACTAGAAGGGCTCTGTGCACAGCACTTGATATACTGCTTGATCTTGTTGAACTGATGTTCTAACTGACCTACATTGCAGAGAGTCTTTGAGATTTAAAAAGACTGAAATATATGAGATATACCAGAGGGAAGTTTATAGCTGAGAATGTAAATATATAAAAATCTTCTCTGAATTATATAACATTAAATCTAATAATTATATTCTCCAAATTTTCTTTCCAGCTATAGCATATAGACTTAGGAACTTATTCTTATTTACATAATAGATGTCAAGTTTTATATTTCATTTCAATTTGCTCATTTTATGCCTTTTTTTAAAGAAGTAAAATAGCTTATATATAATAATAACTACAGAAGATGAAATAAATACATTAATATATATAAAAAAAATAAATAAATAAAAGTATTTTTCATATGTAATTACTTAAATTCAGCTATTGTATGATATTTATAATCATTTAAAATAGATATGTAATATCTGTCAATTGTATATCTGTATATTAATTGAATATCTATTTCAATCACTTTAAATCTAGCTGATCAAGTAATTCAATTATTCTTGTTAAGCTCAATTACTTAATCTGCAGGTAGATTCTCAATATCATTAAGTCTGATATATTTTGCTCTTAAAAATAATCTATAAAGGGCTATGCCCTAACCCTATAATACCCAGGCTCCGCCTTCGTTGACTACTATCGAAGCGGCGCTCTTGAGGCGGGGCTATCGAGGCAGCACCTCTCGCGTCTGCTTCTGAAGCGGTGCTCAGATCATCCTCATAAAGCCCCTTACTACTGAAGCTCCGCCCTTTATAAAGGAAGCCTGATTCCTACAGATCTGTCTTGCTTTTTCCTTCCTTAATGAATTCTTCTTGTTTTCATACGCGTTAGTTATCAGCTGTTTTCAGCAACTAGCCCGTTACAATAACTTTTATAGAAGTTTGATTTTTTATCACATCATGATGTTAAATGAATTTTCATAGTATTTTTCAATTATAAATGATAAATTCAGATTCTGTACATGTCTTCAGATGTTGAATGATCATATCTCATATGCTTATGATTCAGAGAGATAGGCCTCTCTCATTCATGAATTTATTCATTGAACTAGAGATACTTGATCAGATTTTGATTGTCTTTGTTAAAAAATTCATGTGTGAGATTTGACCGTGTAGTCGGTAAGATCTTGATACACCTTGACAACCACCAACATGCTTGAAAATTGCCCTGTTTCAAAAGCTCTAATAGCTAAGAGAAGCCTTCCTTGATTAGAAGCTTGACCTTTTGATCTGGTGGGCAAAATCGAAATCGAATGATTTTGTGGATTCAGTGGGTGACCTGTTCCGGTAGGGGATCACTTTCGTTAAAAGGGGTGGCAGGATGCTTACATAATAGCTTTTATGAAACCCGTTGGAACGTCAACTCCAGTTCTGCTGCTGTGAGAGCGCCGACTACTACCTGTGCCACCAGCAAAATTCAAGAAACCAAAGACAATACATAGCGGAAGAACCATTGAATACAGCTTCAGGATGAGTCTCACCGTGATGAACGGTTCCTTACGAACAGCGGTCCTGGCTAGCAGAATCCCATGCACTTTCAGCCCACTCATTCTGTCCAACGCCGCCAACACTGCTCCCGGCAGCAGTTTGCACTTTCCGGCGCGGCACCAGCAGTGCAAATATAGCACCTCTTCATTCCCCAGTGCCCAACCGCAATACCACCAGAAGCGCCAGATGAGCACTCGACCCAGCGATCAATCTCTCCTCAAGTTCCAACAAAGCCAAGTCTCGCGGAACCTGGACCAACCGACCTCCTCCCGTTTTCCCCCTTCTGCTGCCGTCCCAAACACCACACCTCTACGCTCTGCCCGCAAAGCCTCTACACAAGCAAGCCCCTCGCCAGTGAGATCCCCAGACACCCCATCCACCCCGGGCTACACATCGTCTGAAAGCATGCCGCTGGATTGGAACTCATTCTTCCGCCTCCGGGCCTCCCGTCGCAAATACTCGCTAATATCCTCAATCATTGCCTCCGTTTGCAGCACCGCCGGCGGTGTCCAGGTCCTGGTGGCGAACAACATAGATACAACGGGTGCACAGGCGTTGGGTCTTGATCCGTTTATTGTTTTGGGACTGGCAACTGCCTCATGTGCGGCGTTAGGTTGGTTGCTTGGTCCGGTACTAGGCAATTCGCTTTGGGGTCTTGTACATAGGAAAAACAAGGCCGCTGTTGCAGTGGTATGTTGATGTGTGCATCTCTCATTTGCTCTTTGGATTCCGAGACTTTTTTTGTTTGTCTCTATTTCTCCATTCCCGTCAATATTTCCTGTTTAATTTATGAGTTTCCAGTTACTGACTAATCCCTTTTCTTCTACAATTTTATTATAACAGAAAGAAAAGGAATTCTACAGCCCGGATAAAGCGTTTCCCGCGTGGATCCATCTGGCAATTCGTATTCCAACCCAGTCCCTGACCTACTATGGCGAGAGGATTGGGCAGCATCCCGGGGATACCGTCAATGGGTTCAAAGACCAGCGGAGCGTTTTAATCGGAAAAGA